GTCGGAGAGGGGAGCTAGTGTCACGGCCACCCGGTGTGCTGAACGTGAAGGAACATTGGACTTTTGGTTGCATATATCAGCTGTGGTTTCTTTGGTTGCGTTATAGGATTTCCTTTGTGTTATGATTGGGATAGGTTGCCATGCAACGGAACCTAGCGGAACATGACGGAAAGATCGCGGCTGCGCGCGACGCCAAGGACTTTCTTTTGTATTAGTGATCATGGAGGATTTCCTGTCTATATAAGGGGGTGTGCCCCCTTATGTTTTGTGTTCTTTACGCAATCTGGTAATCTCCTTTGGACACCTGTACCTAGGAATTACACTCTCTACTATCTGGCGTCCTCTTGAACCCCTGAACCCTGACCCTGAACTTCTGAACCCCGAACCTCGTACAACTCGCTTCGGTTGTACCCCCACACCTAGACCTCGTCTCCAGATTCCTGCCTGTCCTGATCGTGGTGTGCCTTGGGCTACCCGACCCTCAGACCTTGTCCGTTACACTTGGCCAACTTGATTCTTCAGTTGGCTAATTTTATTTCTTCTACTATGACAGGCTTTCTGCCTGCAATGCTTGCCATACAAGTGATTACTATTTTGCCTTCCACATCTCCTTTAGAATCAGTCATATTGCTCTGCTCTTCCATTTAACTAGCTGAGAGGCTCACTTTGTTTGAGGTGTTCTTGGTTAAGTAGTTTCAGTACCTTGTATTTTTTTTCTTGCTTGTGTTTGCTGCTGGGGATACCTGGGAGTAGGTGTGGTATAGGTTTACTTTACTAATGTTTTCTGCTATTTGAGCTTAGGCCCAGGGTGAGGGATTTCTTTACTTTACTTTGTTAGTCATTGTGGGTGATGCGAGGGGCTATTTTACTCTACTTTGAAGAAATTAGTGCACTGGTTATGTTTCCTTATCGCATTGCATTGGAATTAAGGTTTTTTCTATTGCCATACTGCAAGATGCATGTACATTTTTGAACCAGAATCAATAAGCATATGAATTAAAAAAAAAAAAAAGAACATAATAACCCAGCCCCATAAAAAATCCTCTCTATCGCCATGTTTAATACATCCGGGGGGCCTAGTTACCCGCACAGAGAAAGGAGAATCCCATGATCACCCAGTGAGAAATAACAAATACAGAGAAAGGAATGAGTATCGAGTTCCTCTGCCGTTTTTTTGATCATTGTTCATCTCTCCTCTCTTCCGGGAAGGCCTTGGTGTGCTAGGACTAATGCCCAATGGCGTGGACGCTGTCCTAGAAGTAAAGGGAGGCTATGCCAAATGTTAGTCGCCATCCCCTATTTTTCTCGCTCATGATATTTGAGGCGCCACACATCTGCCCCTGTCTCGCTCCTCTGCACGCACCTGTCAAGAGTTGACCGTTGGGTATTTTCAACTACCAAGGAACAACTGCTCCCCCATTTCTCTCCCCTTGTGTCTTTCTCCCTCTGCTTCATGCAACTCTGCTAACAATTTCTTTTCGGCAGAGACTTTTTCGAGATTCTTGCGAAATCTTGCCTGCTCCGCCGCAAGGATCTCCCTAATCTCATTATCTCTTTCACTGATAGCCCCCCGCCGTTCTCTCTCCAAGGATTCTATTTCCTCCTTATGTCTCTTCTCTTGGGCAATCAATTCCTCGTTAATGCATTGTCCTGCAGCGGTCTCAAGAAGGGTCCTATTTTGCTCGACAATCTGACCCTGGATATTGAGAGGCCTTCGCTCTTTTGGCATCAATCTGCGGATAAGCTCCAATCCTGATTCTCTAGTACCATCGAATCTCTGGAGAGTGGCACCCTTATCAATAAGCCCTCCCCAGAAATCCCAATTCCGGAGACTATTCTCACGAAGCCCCCCTTCTCCCAGATCAACGTTAGACCACTGCGTTGTTGTGAGAAGAACGTTGCTCAGGAATTCCTGACCACACAAGCTCCAGAACATCCTAAGATTCCTTAGGGCAGAACCCTCCATGCGGGTATGGGTGATGGGATGAAGATAGATGATACCGGAGAGGAGTCGCCCCTGCTTATAGGTATAGGTAGCCCAATCAGCAAACTCTTGTAGGATCTCGGTATCGCTTCTATCCGTATCATTGAACCCCGGAGTGTCTACTAGCGTGATTTTTACCCCCTGATACTCAAAAGAGTAGGATTGGACCTTGCGGGTGCCTTCCCCCTGTCAGCGCTCGAGCCCAACCTCTCCAGAAGGAGGCTATCTTACAAGAGTAGAGATCACTGCTCACTTCGATCTGAGAGTTACCAGAGACCTCTCTAATGAAATAGCTTTTACCAGCGCCTATGGCTTGTGTCAGCAAATACGTATCGGTTTTGAGTGCACTTTGGACTTTACCTGTGACCCCCATCAGTGCTATTATTATTTCTTTACCAGGACTGACCTCCGGTGGCACCGGGTGGACTTGTTGGCCTAGCTGAGGTGGCGGGTACGGGGGATATCCTGCACCAGACACGGGCGGTATGACAGTGCAGTGCCGCGCTTGTGTACCGTATTGATACCCCCCGTATGGATAACCAGGGCCCGGTATACTACTAATGGTTTCGGGCGCCTGTGTACCGTATTGATACCCCCCGTACGGATAACCAGGGCCCGGTATACTACTGATGGTTTCGGGCGCCTGTGTACCGTATTGATACCCCCCGTATGGATAACCAGGGCCCGGCAGACTACCGCTGGTTTCGGGCAGGCTAGGAATCTGCCGACTCTGGGGCTTTTGTTGATTTCCGGACATTCCCCGCTTGTAAGACCTTTGTTGGTTATAATGCATTCCCGGGTCGACTGGCGATGCCATGGCTAAGTCCGACATGTTGAAATTGGAGATCGCCGGACCGCAGTGAAACGAACGATTGATAGCCTGTGAAACACTGAAACGCCAAGTGCTTACTCACAATACGAAAAGCGGGGAACTTGAAAACTTTTCACCTCACTGACACACTCTCGCATTCACACTCTTTTCCCCCTAACTATCGCGCGCTCAACTAACTAGCTAACGGAAATGACAGGAGTATATAGTAACCACAAGCGACAACAGCAAACCGCGAAGTCTCTACCCCCCCTCAGGTAAGTCCCCCGCATATACTAGCAAACCGGAAAAGCTAACAAAGAAAAAAGACAAACATGAGCTCTTCCGCCGTATGCTCCTCCGCCGTGCTTTCCCATGCTCCTCCGCAGTGCGCTTTCCCGCCGCTCTCTCCCCACCATCTGTCTCTGTGCGGCGCCTTTCCGCCCTCTCCCTGCTGTGCGGCTTTCTGCCGCGCTCTTCCGGTTTGCGCTCTCACGGTGCGCTCTCCCGCGTTCCACCGCCATGCGCTCTACCTAAAAACAAAAAACAAAGCAAACTATCGGGTACGGAAAGGGGGGGGGGTATAAGGGAATAAGGAAATAGGGAGAGGGGAGAGAAGGGGAATGAGTGGGGAAGGAGGGGTAGTGGGAGTAGTGGGGGTAGTGGGGATGGGGAAAGGTGCGAGCCTGCCGAGCAGCATCTCGCCATTTCCAACACGACAAACGGGGCCTAAGGCACCCCGCGCAATGCCGCCATATTCGCCTCAATATTGATCGGGGGGTTCGCTTCCTTTCCCGACCCACCCCCCCTCCAGGCCCACCACCCGAATTGGGAGGGCGCGATGCGTGGTGCGTTGATAACTGAGAACTCATCTCAAAATAACCTAATCGTTTATGTACCCGGAATTGGGGTTTCGTGGGTTTAAGTCCGCTTCGGTTCAATTGGAGGACTAAGTAGAAAGCTTTAGGATTTCGGTTTATCTGAGGAGCAAGCAGTCCTTGCTTTGTAGTGTCGGAACGCCTGCGCAAGCCAGTTTCTGAGACACGGGTGAGGAAGTAGAATGGACTACTACTCTACTAGAGGTCCCAGAAGAGCAACGGGGTGTTGTGGATGATTCTTGAAGTGGAGGGAGTGTAGAGAAGTCATTCGGGAGTGTCGTGGATTGTGCTGATGGTACAGCAGACATGCCTCTCCCCCGCCACGCCGGGAGCGCACGGAGGAACATAGATAGGTGTGGATGACCACTAGTGTGGAAGGATCGGAATGCATTGGCTTGGCTTACATATGCTCCTATCTTAACCGTTAGTTTACTCTTAACCAAAGTCCGCATATGGTGCCAGTGCACAGTGGGTGCGACCCACTCGAGAACTACCTTTTAGTAAACTAGAATAGATGAAAAAATTGACCGGAAGATAGCTTTGGTGATTGGAAAATTTGGCGGCAGGAACGCTTACTAATGACCTCATTTCTCTCATGAGTTGTCCTCCCACAACTCCCTGGCGTAGGGAGCATTTGTGGGCAATTGGAACCTAGCAATTTTCACTTTCACATTCATCAGAAAAGTAGTCCCATATAAAATCTGAAGAGAATTACCAGTTACGAAAGAACTACCAAGTTTACCCCATCCCCTCCTGCATCTGTCTCTTCTTTTCCATCCCAGTGACGTTGAGTCGAAGTTTCCCATGCTTTGGCACACCGCAAAAGCCGGAAAAATTAGTTCACGCTGGGATATACGGGTCATCCTGAATTATGGGGGAAAGACTGAGGAAGGATGATTTCCAACCCCCCACCATGAAAAATAAAAAGAGGGATGTCAGGGGGGATGCGAGGGACTCACCGTACGAATAGTTCGAGGTTCAATTATTCCCATTTTTGCAGTATTTGAGGAGAGGGGTCCCACGGTTCCAAGTCAAGTGAAAGCGAATGCCCAGGAAAAAGCAGCGTCAGAAAGAAAACTTTTTTACTAGACATACCATCAATCTCGGGGGCACACCTGTCAATTAACGGCAGCCGGATTAACCACAATACATATAGCTATCCAGACAAGTTAGGAATGCATGCGGTGCCAAAAATATGATATGGTTCAACTTTCCTAAAACCTAGTCCACCCAACTGCATACAATCCGGAAGTGAAATGGGTCCTTCGAAACAAATATCAGATCAAAAAAATGTGGAAGTACCCGAAACCATGATATAAAAAGAGTTTGTACAAGAATACATGTACTGAAAAATTCAGTGCAATAGTTTAAGTCGAGCCAACTGGACATATATTCCCACAATCAAAGCCCTCTCCTATGCACGCCAATCACACCTTCAGCTATTCGATGAATGTGGAGCTTCTTTTTCGCTGAGGCACTTCAAGAAAGCCAAAATCCTCAAAAAAATGGAATCCACGCTTACTTCTCATTCCCATGTTGGAAACTCCGGGTGCCATTAAACCGCCGGGTGTTGGTAAAGAAACCCAATACATACCCGATTCGACAGACAAAAATTCGATTGAGACCACCCCAGTAATCAAACCAAACCCCAGCCGAAGTCCTCGAGAAAGTTGCGCTCCACGACATTGTTCATTTCGCCTGTCATGGAGTGTCTTGGATCAACCCTTCAGATAGTCACTTGATTCTGTTTAGCCGAGATGGGCTTAATGTTGATAAGCTCCTGGCTCGAGATATATCTAATCTGGTTGCGCAAAATGCCCAGATCGCATACCTTTCGGCTTGCTCCTCTGCCAACAACCCCTCCACCGAGTTAGCCGACGAGGTCATACACCTAGCCAGAGCATTTCAGCTCACAGGATTCAGCCATACATTCGCAAACATGTGGGAAACCGATGACAATGCGGCCTGTGAAGTTGCGAGAGACTTCTACGAACTTCTTTTACAAAACCGAGGAAACGGCGAAGACGACCATCAGCGCGTCTCTACCGCGTTTTACAAAGCTGTGAAGAAAGTTCGTGATACTAAGCCAGGCAACCCTCTCCTATGGGCTCCCTCATACACACTGGCGCTTAAGATATCAGGTTGGCAAATCCTCTCGGAATTTGACCTCTCTTCTTCGCCCCAGTGTAGTTAACTTTGCAAAGAAAAACCTATTTCCCAGCTTCACCTTAAGGCCCTACCCGTGACTACCTTTCGCACCCGGCTCAAAGGGCACTTACCCATTTTCCTTAACCCATCACCATGTGAATATATTTCCTACATACACTTCTCTTGCTTGTCTTGTTTTCAACCTGTATCAGAAGAATCTCATTTGCACTGGATTCTCATATTTGTAGGGGGGGGAACGATAGGTCAAGTTAGACACAATTTCTATTGGATTTTCATCCACTTTCTCCATTGCATCTGGAATCCAGACGGGTATACTCCTTCATCTCTTTTCACTGGGCTCATCTTCATTCCCTTTCTTACATAATTCTACATCGCTTGTTCATATAGGAACGGTATTTTACATATTTCCAATTTAAGTTACTTTATAACGAAAATTGATGAACCCTGTCCACCACGTCTCCACCTCCCCAGACCGAAAGACAACCCAGCGGGGCCGTATAATACCACCAACACCATACCGTAAACCACAGCCATGAGCCAAAAACCCGAAAAATGCCATCCCACACCATAAAATTTAATCCCGAGTAATAGTTACCCTTACAATCAGAGAGCCCAACGCACCAACGGATTGAACCCCCTACAACAAAGCGAATCCCCAATATCCAACCTCCCCCGGAGACCGCGGGAGGCCAAGACAGGATTCACAGAATAAAAAGCGGCCGGTAGCGCACGAGGACCGCATGCACTTAAACACGCCGCAGAGCAAAAAGACAGGCGGGCTCCACGGACATCCCTATCCGGAACGCCAGAGAGATTCTTAATTATTGTGTTTTAAAAACTTAACTTCAAACCGGGCTCTCATTTAACTCCCTTGGACGCCTTATGTAAATTCCCCCCCCCCCGCCAAGCCATCCACCCTGCTAAGTGCCATGGGCAGTATCATAGTAGGCCCTAAGTTACCTCTCTTCCGTCTCCATCTATACCCGGGGTGCTGCACAATGCCATACCTTCCCTACGTAAACCTAACCGACCAGCGGCATCCAGTATCACAAATCTACCCCAAGTCACCGTACAATACCGTATCATACCGCGCAGTGCACCACCTAAATTCACTAGACTATACACACTGCTCGTAACCTAACGCCTACCGAGTGACAAGCTGTGATTGCAACACCAAAACTTGTTTCGAAAACAATATCTAAAGTTCACCAACGTATACAAGGGGAACGGAAAGATTGGTGAGGCGGGTAAGAGCGCACTGGGGCCGTGTATCTTGGGGGGAGGGAGATACCGGTAAAAACCCACGGGACCATATTCGTATCATACGCGCGGTCCGCATGTTTGGCAAGGCATGACAATGTGAACCGTAACCGGCGGCGGGGTTTGGAAGTCCCGCTCTTTTACACAATATTTCACGGCTTTTTCTAGAAAGGGGGGTTACAGGAAAGAAAAAGAGAAAATGAAAAAAGGAAGGAAAAAAGTATTTGGCCCCAGCAAGATCTCCACAAAGCCCAGGTTCCCCCAAGCAGGGTCGCTTCCGAAATGAGCTTACTGCCCATCGTGTAAGGGCAGCGAGGCCGGGTGCACGATAACGAAGTTCCGGGGTATTGGCCGCCGGCCATCGCAGCGTACTCAAGGCCAATTATGTTGGTTTACGGAAAATCTTCACTTGCCGGTTGGCCAACGGCGGAGAGAGAGGCTACTGTAACTTCACCAGACCGAACCCTCCACAGCGCAAGTATATGACGCGCTACACCACAACTCCAAGCTTCGTGAGGGGAAGTATGATACACTCCCACAACTCAACCCACAAAAACTCCACCAATCAACCCCATCCAACCACCCATCACATTATGATACAACACCCTAAACCGCACTCAGGAATTAACCCAAACTCTAAAACTCCGAAACTCCCCCTCCACCCACTACTCCCCCTCCCAATCGCCGACCCCAACAACCTCCCCCCTAACCCCGCCGACCCCGACCCCAACCCACTCCGCGCACTCCGCCAGCAATGCCCCAACCCGCCCCTCCTCCCCGCCTTTGACGAAAATCACCACAACTGGGCCATCCCTCAGCGCCTCCTTCCGCGACATGCCCCGTGCGACGCACTCGATCCGGCTGAAGGGTATCTCGTGCTTGTTGAGGAAGAGGACTATGCGATCGTAGAGGGCTCCCGTGAAGAATGGGGGCGGGGGGATGGGGTAGGAGGTGATGTGGGGGGGGGTTATCTTGATCATGATTTGTTGTTCGGGAAAAATGGTGAAGGAGGTGACGGAGTTGTTCTTGTTGAAGGGCTTGTATCGTGGGCTACATAATATGCTGCGGAGCGGTGCAGTACGCGCGTTTACTTGTATAATACCGCACTATGCGAGCATAAGACGCGACAATGACTAAATAGCAGATGTATTATCTCAAGATGCGAAGAATGCAAGATATAGCTCTCCAGGAAAAAGGGAACAGGAATAGCGAAAAAAAAAGTCTATCCGGTAAATGCGCCTACCAGCCCAGAACACCGCCATTATTCGACCATAATACAATCGCCAACAATACGAGCGCCGGCGAGTATAAAGTAAAGTAATCTACTCATCGTCACTAACAACCTTCCTCCTCTTTGTGCGGCTAAAGGTAGCCTTTAGCACAGGTTTCCCTCTCAAGTTCCTTGGCAACCTATTGACCGTTTTCTTCGGCGGGAGCATAATCGCCTTCTTGGGAGCCCACTTCTCCAGCATCTGCCCAACGTCTGGGAAATCTTCGCCCCCCTCCTCGCCATCGTCATCCTCCGAAGTGTCGGTAACGAACTTTCTCCTCCTCTTGGAAACTCCGACGTCGCTGTCTGTGCCACTGGAATCAGCGTTCGCGTCCGAGGCCATGGGCACGTCATCCTCCTCCTGAGAACTAACCAGGTCGATCATTGGGGGTGCGTCGGCCATTTCCACGTCCGGCGGGGAGGCGCTCTCTCGTTTTCGCTTGGACACAAATGTTTGCTTCAGTTTCGGAGCGTTGCTGGGGCGCTCCGATAGACCGGTCCTATTCCTTGGGGTCACTGGTTTGAAGGGTTTTGTCAGGAGCTTCCTCGGCGGTTGTGGGGGCGGGGCGACGAGTGTCATGTCAAGATTGGATTGGTATTTCTTTATCGCCTCCTCGTCCATATTGTGCATTCTTTGCAAAGCCCTTGCCATGGATTTAGTGGCGCGACCGTGTCGGACATGGTGGGTTTTCGTGAGAGTCCTCTGGCGCTCCGGGAATGCGTCCGTTCGAGGTGGGTTTACAACAAGGACTCCATCATCGGCTCCACTCCAGTCCGTTTGGTATGTTCTTTGGAGCTTCTTCTCTTCACTTTTAGTTAATAGGCCAGTCTCTGGGTCAGGGATGTCTGGCGCGGGAGACTCCTTCTCGACAGGTATATCATCTTCCTCATCCTCCAGATCAGACTCCTTTCCTATCCTTGAAGCCTTCACAAAGCCGGTTTCGACCCCATCGGGCATGAGAAACTTCTTTGTGATCTTAGTCTGCTTCCCCTTCGCAGCTGACTTCCGTTTCGGAGGCCCAGGTTCAGTATTCTCGGTAGGTATCTCAATGACCTTCCTATCAACAGTGCATTCAACATCCCTCGGGACAATCCGTGGTGATAAGTCATGATGGTAGTTGAACCGCTTTCCGGACTCAATTTCGCCTTGAATGAATTCATGATCCCTCGTTGCCCTCCTGAAATTATCTTCTTCCTTGCCCTGGGTGAGAAGGATATGGACGTGGCCGTCCCGTTTACGACCTGTTCTTCCCATCCGTTGAAGCTTTGCTTTGTTTAGCAACCAATTTTTCTTTTTTTTTTAAAAAAAAAAAGAGCAGGAAGAGAGCGATTTACCAGCCGGATAGAGGACCCTTGCTGGTCATAGCAAATGATCATATCAACTTCCCCAATATCCAATCCTTCTTCTCCAATGCTGGTGGCTACTATGACATTATAAGTTCCCTCCTGAAATTTTTTGATCACCTAATGCCAATGTCAGTTCCATCAACCTCTGCGAGGTCAAAGCATCAGTTACCTCTATCTGATCCTTCTGTTTCATCCCTTCCACCACCTTCCCATCCGACTGTCCAACAAAGATATGGGGCTTGACAATCGGTTCGTGCTTACTCAGAACTCGTACGATCTCTTCAGCGCTGCTCCGATAACTCGTAAAGACCATGATTCTAGTCTCCCTTTTGGTCTCCGCATCCTCGGCATCGAAAAAATGTTTCAACACAACAGACGCCAAATAGTCAAGCTTGGGGTGTCCAGAGTATTCTTTGTTCGAAACAAGTTCCTGGCACTTCCTCATGACCCTGCGGAAGTTCTCGTCGTTTATTATGTCCCGTTTAGTCTTACTGCCCCCGTTAGGGCTAGAAAAGATTTCCGCCTGCACTTCAGATAGTTTGTTGAAAAACACCCGGACCCCGTGCTCCGTCAAGAAATGCAAAGGGAGTGCCAGAGATGATAGCGTGGCAAAGGCATTTAGCATCATTCCTTTGAAGGCTGGACTAGCATCTCTTCCCGCATTAGATGCCATCCACTCCCGGCCAGCCTGTTGAACACCAAACATCGATATTGCTTTGACATCCAATACCCTGTACGCCCTAGCATCATTCAACTTCTTGAGAAGAGGTTCCAGGCACTTGCAGTACAAGTCACGTAGTTCAACCATTTCATCCGTGAGTTCAAAGACCTGGAGATGCTGGAACCTCTTGTGAACATACGGTCGAATATCCAGGGATTCCAAGTTCCTGATCTCCGTTCCCGCAATGCCGCAAGAGTCGATTACCGCCTGGACCTTATCAATAGTGGAACCAGGCGTAGCTGTTAAAGCCAAGACGCGGAAGCTGTTGTTCACCCTCCGTAAAAGCTTTATGACCTGAACGTAAGCGTAGTTACCAGTGGCCCTGTGCGCTTCGTCAATGACCAAGCAGACAACCCTTTTTGCATCACAAATCCCCTTTGCTATATCGTTCTGCATCGTCTGTGGAGTGAGGAAGAAAACTCTCTTCTCTTCCCAATTGTCCCGACGCCGTTGCACGTTGACATTGCCAGTCATCTCCGCGGTTGCGCTCCTAGGTATCCCAACGATGTTGAAGCATGCGTCAATCTGCTGCGCCACCAGCGGCTTCGTAGGTGCTAAAAAGGCAATCTGACTTTCAGGCGCCCAGCGGAAGAAATTCAGTATGACGGTCGCTGCAATCAAGGTTTTGCCGAGACCTAGAGTAATCCAACCGGTCAACCTCCTCCGGAGTAGAAAAAAAAAACCTCAGGCAACAGGATGAGGAGACAAACCCGTCGGGAGCGCCACCAGGACGTTGGAAAAAAGGGCTCTAGAGACAATAGAATACTGGTAGTCTCGATGAGGAATATTTGCCGGGTAAATCCATGTCCTTGCCGCTTCTCTGTCAATCTTGTGATGCGTTGGCGGCTCCTGCGTATTCATAAGAGGCCAACTACGCAGAACCGGGATAGACGAAGGTTGACTGCCATCCTCCTCAACAATATCTCCGAATAGCGTACTCTGTCGAAACCCCCCGCTAGAAGAACGAACAAGCGAGGTACGTGCTGCTGGTACTGCTCTAATGACTCTCGGCGGGTCCCGGAACTCATCGTCAGAGTCGTCAAAATCGCTGTCGAGGAACAGAGGAGCATCGCTAGTGCCACCCGCAGCCGGATCGATCTGCTTCCGCTGCGGGGGAGCTACCGGTATTGGAGTTGGTGGAGCAGGAATAGACGAAATAGAAGGGGTAATCGCTTGCTCTTGCTCCACCTGATCCGTAGCTGCTATCAGTGCCTCTTCATCGACATCTCCCCAGTCCTCGCTTCCAAACTCATCATCCGACATCGCAGCAAAAGTTTCAAGGTGGTAGGGAAAGTTGGGGAGACGCGCTTCGCCCCCCAGACAACAAGCCGTGTGTGTTAGTAAGCAGGGTGTAGGCCTTGGCAGCAAGGGCCTCAGGCTCACAACCTCGGGGCTGCAGCACGCCCGTAGCAGCGTCTGCAGGCGAAACCGGGGGGTTTTCCTTCTCAGGTATCCGCAGCTGATAAAGTTCGATGTGGAGTACAGAACGGCACCGATATCGCAGCCGAGTACGGGAAGCCTAGGCATCATGGGATCGTATCGATTGGATTTCCAGCGTTCTCGCCCGTAAGGTAAATTTATGATATCACGCTCGAAAAGGTCTCCCGTGACGCGCTTCGAAGGCTGACCCACGGTGGAACACCAAAGCCGCTGGCTGATATGATACCGTACTTTGTCAGCGACCCCGTGTCGGCGCACCCTTCAACCCAGCACAACTGTACGAGTACCGTAGCCTACCAACCACTTTTGTCATGCCTAGCACCTGGTACTCGAGTACTGTATGATATTACCGGTATGTCGGTATCCCGTGCTGCGAATAACGAGGAACTCGTGTCACGCTCACCCAAAATCCTTGGATGCACTCAGACTCGTATCAGTGCATTCAACAGGAAGATTCAAAGCTCTCGGTACGCTGCGAACCGGTACACAATATACCCCGAACACAGGTGTACTGCTTTGAACGTCACCAATAAGCTGCCATCAGGACTAGTATAGGGATGATGAACAAAATGACCGTACCTCTGTACCGGCAGACTATCCTGCACCCCTCCCCCCAAGGAGGTTTGCGGTGTACTGTACAGTACTATACCCTAATTTCCAGAAAATACACCTCTACCAAAACACCTGTGCCGAGGGCATTGAATCTCCCTAACTAGCGCTCCGAATCCTCACTTCTTGCGAAAAATAAAAGAGCTGATGCCCAGAGCTTGATCCCCCCTACCGGCATCTCATAGGGATTCGATGGGATATCTGTAGAGCCCGGGGTTTGGGAGCACCCATCTGATTCCGGGTTTGGGCTTGGGGCGAGCAGGTTTTAAGCGATTCTCACTACTGTATGCCACCGTAGTACGGTACTCGAGCACGAGTGCTCTACCGGTGCAGGAGTTTCTCCTTGATAACAAAGCCGGATACCCGTGCCCGCAGTCAACGGTAATAATGCGCTCGACCAGTCCCTCAATAGTATCCGATACCGTACGGTAGTCCAAAGGCTACCGGTATCGTAATGCGACATGCGGATCGAGGGTTCCAAATTCATATTGCCGTACGGTATCAAAGAGCGCCAGTCAAACCAGAGCCAATCCCTGGCCTCGTCTGCCGCCTACGGGGAGCGCAACGGATAAATACCGGTATCATACTTGTGATACCGTACTGTACCCGAGCACTGTACGAGTACAATTAGACGGCAGGCACAGTAACTTATGATGGAGGGACGCAATACAGGCACTCGAGCACAGCAGTATCGCGCCACATTCTTCTCTTCCAGCATCACGAATGAGAATAGCACGGGACACCAAGAACCAGGCTATACGGTAGCTGTCTCAATCAATTGCGAGGGCGTGGAGCCGGGCCTTGCATCTTACAAGTCTATGTTTCCCGACAAACGCACGATGAAAGTGCGTGTGGTTGACCTGAGGGCCATCTGCCATACCGGTAAATTTATTGTCTTGGGGAAGAAACGTTGCAACACAGCCACGGAAGCTGCACTTTACTGTGTACGATCCACCGTATTCCGCGCGATAACCTAAACCCACGCCCACCCAGCCCATGGCGACTGCCAACAGCCCAATCGGTAGCCACATCACTAGACAGTGTAGTCGAAAGCCATCCGAGGAATAACAGCCCGCAGAGGCTGAAGAGGATGGGGCAAAAAAAAACCAAAAAAAAACCGAAGACTGCACCGCAGAAGATGAACGGGCTAATCAAGACGTTTCACTTGCAGTTGCCTCTCCCGCCAAGGTGCTGCGTACTCGACTACAAGTATATTCCCTTTGTTTCGCCTCGGCCAGGGGCCAAGTTTGCAGTATTTTCCCAACACGCAGGCGAGAAAGTGAGTTCCAACGTCATTGCACATCCATCTACAGTACATCCACCTTCCATTCGAGTTCCCACGATCATGAAGAGGTGAAGCGTGGGCAGCTTGCTGGCAGGATCGTCCATGATTCGCACCCATCCAGCGTATGAATTATGCGGGCTAGGGAAGCATGCGGATGGACTAGAAGGAGTGTTAACCTATTTGGCATTTCTCCTCTTATCGTGTGCTTCCCTTCCAAAAAATCTGTTACTATATTTATCGCCCAATGTAGTCGCAAAGTGGGTAGGACCTTGGGATGATTATTTCCGGACCAACCGCCACCCAGATCCCTGAGCCTTTCCCTTCTCTACCAAACTTTCCACAGCGGCCCCTCCTACGGTACTTGTATGAATGAACCAGATCCTCCCAGAGGCCTTGTGGAGGAGCGGAAGGGGGCAAAAAGAGGGAAAATTTTTGATTATGGCAATTCGAAGGTTTGAAAAGCCAAGGAGCCTCCACCTGCTGAAGACGACACCGGGACACCGGTGGTGCAACGATTGGAGGATGGCCGACGCTGTCCTCGCAAGAATAGGAAGCCGGGAGCAGTTCTTAGTCATGAAAACAACCTCCGGCAAGGGGTGCCCTGTGGTTTATAGTGGCACACCAGTCCGCAATTGGAGAATTATGGAGAGATCTTTATTATGATAAGCTACCTTACACGAGTACTTGTACGAGTACCGTGCAAGTACTCGTACACCACGAGCACCGGTAGTGTGCTATGCCTCTTGTTAACGGTTTAACCCCTTTCCTTCCACCTCACAGTGTCCAGCACCCGGGCTGGCCACTGGGATGCACCCCCCCAATAAATTTCACAACATTCGGGTGGGAACGATCAGACCGCAGGCGATGTTGTTATTACCGGTGCTCTAGAAACCAGGTGGGAGGAAAAAGCCCTTGTTTGGCTGTCCACACACCACCCTTCCCTTCCAATCCCCCCCTAGTGCCCTGCTATCACACCCTGCCCACCGCACCCTGCCCCCCAAAAAATTCTCTGCTGCATTTTTGTACTTAAGTCCCCTGCCATCCGTTCATTCGACTTCCTCTCCTCCTCCTTCTCTCCCTTCTCCACACTCCAGTCACTTCTCACACTCGCTTCGTGACCCTTCGAACCCTGCTAATTTTCACCTTAATCTTCTAATCATCACACTCCTTCAGTCCCATCCACCGGACAAGCTTTTTTGACAACAAACATCCCAATCAAAATGAAGTTCTCTGCTATCATCCTCTCTCTTGGCTTCGCCGCTCTCGCTGCCGCTCAAGCTCGCAATTCCACTGTTGTTTCATCGCCGGTTGCCGCTCCTACTCAAACCTCCAGCTTCTCCCCTCAGGTCGCCGCGTGCCTCGGCAAGTGCAAGGAGTCTGATGTTACCTGCCGTGCTCAATGTTTGGGTATGTTGGACAAGCCCGTCCTCGTTTCATATGAATTCCTGCTGATTTGAATTCCTTCTTTTTTCTAGGAAGTGCTGCTCCCAACGATGCTTCTGCCAATGCCACCAACGACTGTGTTGGAAAGTGTACCCAGGGAGTACGTTTCTTGTCCTATTCCCTCCCGGAGCCATACATGTGCTCACAGTTCAACAGGATGGTAGCGCAGCGGCCACCGAGAAATATGCCCAGTGTGTAACCGGCTGCATCAACACGATCTACCTTTCCACTTCTGCTGCTGCCCCCTCCGCAACTGGTAGCAGCGGATCCGGGTCTGGGTCTGGGTCTGGGTCTGGGTAAGCCTACATTCCAGCTCTCTTCTACTTCCCCACCCCCTTCAAGGGTATTCATCCAAGATCACTTGCTAACCCGGTAGACTCCCTCCGAGTGTGGCTTCTGCCACAAGTGAGGCTGGTTCTGCATCTAATAGAGGAGATTCTGGAAACCCTACATCTGGTGGCGATGCCAGTGGCACTGGTTCCAGTGCTGGCTCTACTGGCGCACCCAACGCCGGTTCATCGGTCCAGGCCGGTGGCTCTTTCCTCGCTCTCTTCGGAATTGCCGCTGGTATCCTCGCGTTGTAAACAAATCATCTCTAATGCCGAATCATTCCTGTTGTCTCAATCACCCATCGGGCGATGGGGAGGCTTCGTGTTGTGCGTTTGGGTTCGGATCTAATGGAATGGAATGGATTGGATAGCCAATTGATGCGTCTCAGGTTGTACGTTACCTGTATGCGCGTTGAGACAATTGAAGACATACCAGTGACGCTTTACTTTCTAATTACCTGGGTCGGTTTAATGCGGTGTATCTGTGGTTTCCTTTCACTGGTTCGTTGTATGATCTTTTTTTTTGTCGATATTTGGGGTGTTCTCTTGCAATGTGGTACCCCCCTGGTGTTTTACCTCTTCTTCTTTTTTTTTTTTTTTTTAATTTTCTTAAAAAAAAAAAAGATAAAGCCACCAACTATTCTTCCCCACAGTCGCAACCAAGGTGTCAATCCCCCATATAATGATTGTATCACGGTTACCTTGGACAGAGTATTCGTACACCATCTAAAGCCCAAGCCAAGAGAGAGAGTCCTCACGCGGTATCGTAACTTAAAACACTTGAAAATAAAAACAAGAGTCCTGCACCTGCGTGCCACCCTCCTGACACTGTGCCACCATCAATAAGGATACCCTTACCCATTCTTCTCCTAGCATAAGTTAATTTCCACCAGCACCACCACGAACGATTTGTGGCACGAGACGAACCGCTCCCCCCTTCCACTCCACTCCCCCTTTCCATTCTCCACTTTATCCATCCCTTCACACCCCGAATATTCACCCCGTGCGACAAACATTAGCGACCATACCGCTAGCGGCTACCGCGGCCGAGATTTCCCTGCAATAGATAAATCAAAGGGAAAAGGATACAAGTAATATCCTTCCTGCACATACAGTATGATACCGGTACGGTACTGTACTTACTGTACTCTACAATTCTACAAGTACGGTATCATAATAAGCACTCTACTCGAAAAGCGCACCCTATGTACCGCACCCAACCCGGTCCAACCAACCAACCCTCACAGCAACAGGAATTATTGCACCGTACGGTAATGGATGCAGCAGGTACAGTACTGGTACAGTACTGGTACAGTCTAGGAAGACATGGACAGGGATTCCGTAATAAATCCCACAAAATTACAGTACAAGTACGAGTTACCGGGTTTGGTACTTAGCCGCAGAATAAATAACTCCTGTGATACAAGTGCGAGTACATAATTTCCCGTGAGTTCCCCCGTACCCTACTTGTACCGTAACCCACCCACCATACAGCACACAACTTATGCCTTGCTGTTGCTACGGTACTCGAGTATTTCGAATGGGCGCGGTAGGTGGGTCGTCTCGCGGGGGCACGTGATCCAGTTTCAGCCACCCCGAGGTTACAATACTAGTACGGTAATTATCGGTTCGGAAAGGGGGGGGGGGGGGTGATGGCGGGCGGTGGAATGTTGATTTTTACTTTTTTTTTACTTTTTTTTTTTGGCTTCCCGGATGTAATTTCCCGGGGGGGAAAATAACTTGTTTTTTGTCTTTGTTTTTGTTTTTTGTTTTTGTTTGTTTTGGAATGTGGTTTCCTATTTTGTGGTTGTGCAGCCCTCAACCGGTACAGTACGGTACTGGGAGGGTGGATCTCAAGTCCTGCTATGGTCGTGGGGAGAATTTTTTTTTACTCTTTTCTTTTCTTTTCCTTTCCTTTCTTTTTCCTTTTTCGTTCGGGGGGTGGTTGGCGAAGGACGGTCAAACTGACGACTTTCCAGAAGGTGATACAAGGACAGTACCGCAATATCATAGGTCTGCAGTGGAGGTGGCTGGATGGGTACCGTAGGTCATGTCCTGTTTGGAAGGAGCTTGTGCTACGTTACGGTTGGGTAGAGTAAGTGAGGATGTACAGTATATCACGGATCCCGTAGCCTACGAGTAGGGTTTGTGAATCATGGTAATGGGAGTGTGGGCTCCCCAGGGCTATCCCGTGGAAATTTGGGATATATTGTGATGCTTTGCTTCCTAGTATCCTTTCCATTGCCGCCATCCTTCATTCCCTCTCCTGACTAATCGACTCTTCAAACTGGAGCGCCTATTCGGCGGCCGTTATTGGCCCCGCCGGGTCCATTCCTAACTTGACCATTTCCACGGCTAGTTGGAAGAGATAGTCCAAGCTTTTTTTGAAAACCGCCAGCAGCAGATCAGCAACACTGCCTCCATGGAAAATCGCAATTCTCACCTTTCTGCCTGAGTCTTTGCTTTCCAGACGGTGTCGCCCCAGACGTAGCTACGATTGAGAGCGCGGTCAGAATGGAGGATTGCTCAAACATGGTAAACTTCGGAGAGAGATGAGATAAAGGTAACCCACACTCCATGCCTCCTAACCAGGACCGCGCAGGTATCGGGGTATTCGTCAATGGCTTTTTCGAGACTCTCTGTCAAGTCCTCCTCGCTACCTTCACCATGAGCTAGCTAACCTTTGTCCCACCCAGGAGCCAAACCTACCGCGCGGTATTCTCGATGATCGGAATAACCAACTTATCAAAAAATCCGTAATACCCGCCGGTAGATGGCCTCGGTATCGCCTTGATCTGTTCGACGTTCGCAATCGACCATGTACTTCCCTTCGTCAACAGTGTGCACAAAACGGCGGCCTGCGAGTGCGTATGTATGCACGCTCCCGCGTTACGCTTAGTGAACGATGCCATGAACAGCGGCGTGCAGGCCGAGGGCTTGAGGGAGGGGGGACTGCGGAGGTAGGTTTTTGTGGGAAAGTCCATTACGAACATGTCCTGGGGGGTTATGCGCTCCTTTTGGACGCCCGAGGGGGCGAGGTAGACGTGGGATTCATGGCGAATGGAGATGCCGCCGCCTGTGCCGGTTACCTGACATCTTTAGTTTGGGAGTAGGAGAGGGTAGGAGAGGCATACCCAGCCTAGGGTGTAGAAGTTTTTGCATAGACTGCAGATTAGGTTTGCCGGGTGGTTGGGGTCTTGTCGTGTTGAAGGTATCGTTGGTTAGCATGATGGGCACCCTTCCAACAGTCCCACCAACGAGAGGGGGGGGGGAATGAACCCTTCGAAAAGACCAATTTCTCACGACTATTCCCCTGACCCATTGTTCACGATGTGCCTTTCAGCAGGAAGCTCTTGTTGTAGTAATTGTCGTTTCCGGCAACCCAAGGGGAAGTGCGGAAGGAGAAGAAGAAAAAAACTTAAATCCCTCTCCCCTCCCCTCGGTCGCCCCACGATGCCCCATTCCTTAACCCTAAGCTGGATCAAGCGAAGAGCATCCTGCAGGGAGTCCGAGGCCGCAAAACTTACGGCTCAGATCGGTCAGCTGCCTATTTCCAGTTGTAAATCCAAGCCTCTCCACATTGTCTGATACTGTAGTCTACCCATCTCCGCGGTGTCTCTACATGTTAGAAACCATTAACTTACCAGCAATCGCTAGCGAATTCAATATTACCAGTGCTCGAATGCACCCAAAACAGGAGTAGCGTCCCTTGTCGCGAGTTCTCCCGTCTACCATTTTAGATTGTCCAAAGGATAGCACCGTACGGTATGTACTCGAGTACTCGAGCACTGGTGCTGTATTGTGTGGTACTCATGCAGGTATCATACAGCCTTCAACGCGGACACAACCAAAACCGGCGGGCAACGAACAGGAACATGCCAGAGGCACGATATCATGGTGGAAAAAATTGTTACCCCACTTGGCAATTTAGAAAGTATTCGGACACCTTCAACATAATCAACACCTATCAGGGTGCTAAGCGTCCGAATACTTTATAAATAGCCAAGTACTTTGACCGATTCACGTTTTCGCCCGCCAAGGAGCCTTACCCCGCCCGTTTTCGTCGTGCTCCAGCTGGAGACTGCAAGGTGCCGGGCACCTGAAACCAACGCTCACGAGTAGACTACGGTACTGAAATTCACTTTACTCACGCAGTCTTATACATACAATAAAGTGGAGCTCGGCTAAAACGACCATACGTGGGTCTCCACCAGTATTATTCTCATTGAAAATCACAGAGGACAGGACCAGAGAGAGTGCCCGGCAGCGCACGCGAGTACTAGCACACGCCCGTGGCGATATGAGGTTCAGTCAGCTTACCAGTATTTTCCCGGGGTAGTTTGATCGATGGGCACCAGAAATTGGTATCTGGTATTGGCACGTTTTTTGTTTTTTCATTAATGTAAAATTTTGTACCTGCGTTGCGATGCGGGGCGATAAGTGAATGCCGGATTGGTGGTCATGAGTGAGGTCTTGCGACGACTGATGCTTTGGGATTGGTGCATCGGGGCGAAGCCACATCTTACTGCGTCCGAGGGATGAGGGGACGGATGGAGAGATGGAGGTGGGGGGGGGGGGCTCGTGTGATAAAAGAGGCATGATGCGGGAAGTTGGAGCACGCCATCGCGTTCCTTTCTTTTCCTTTGAAGAGTGCACTTAGCAGAGGCTTTGTCCAGTATGCGAGAGGAAGAGATCTGGTGTTTGATGGATTCGTAAGCGAGAATTGCACCGGACGGGAACTTCTAGTACCGTACGTTGGCCCCTACTCTGTTTTTTTCCCGGCACTGATACCGGCATTTGAAGGGGAAGGGCCACATTAATTTCGTGAGCTGGGGGATGATGTGGGTTGCTGCGGCCTGCTGTATCCTCTGAACCGCATAATCTGGTCCAAGTTTGAAGTATCGGGGAGAACTGCGGGCGTTACCAACATGGCGGGGGATGTTAGCCCGCCGTCATAAGGTAGCACTCGTTACGATACAATATATCTTTTGCTAGGGCGTCTTAAGTTAATATCAGCGCATGGAGCCTGTTGGTATGATACCCCACCGTTTCCCGCAGAGATCAGAAAGAAACACACAATATCCCGTTTGCGGTGTCACATCAGGGGTGCTCGGCCACCTGGCTCTACACAGGCAAGCGATGCAGACATGTTCAGACGCCTCAACACGCTGTCCCTTTCCTCCAATGGCATCCCTGCAGCTGGGGTGTCAGCGTGCGAGCTCCTACAGCCAATATTGGGCCTTCAGCCTCGACACGATATCCCGTCGCTTATCTCCCGACGTCGATCTACCCGCCTATTTTTACCGCCGATCGACAATATGAAGCTGAGAGCCATGTCGAACCCGCCGACATCCACGACGTTGACCTAGATCGTGGCCCTGATCCGTCCAAGCACGACGTCATCCTCATGGATACCATGTGTGCCGCAGACCAAGCTGGAGGGGCTCTGGGTGTGTCTACATCTCGAGCATCGGAGGTTCTGAGACTAAACAAGCTGTTCAGGTCAGGTCAGGATAGGCTGCATTTGTGGGGGCCATCGTAAGGCAATTGCCCCACTGGCCGCTGGTCACGGGAAGGAGGCTTGTTGGGTCTCCTTCATTGTTGGTGATTCGCACCTATGAGCATACCGGTATGCTCTAGCACAAGTAGCTTCTGAACGCACGAGCTCGCTTGCCAAAGTAGTCTACGAGTAAGCGGTGTTTTAGGCGAGTGTGATCTTGGATATCAGGGATCAGTGCTAATATTGGAATTGATGGAAAAGTGCAAATCGCCAATCTACTAATACCGGGACCGGTGCATGTACCTCCAGCTGCGTCTCAATTTCCCCATGATAATATTCTTGGTGCCGACTTTTCGGTTTGAGAACGGGGTTGTCAAGGCAGATACTATAGTACGTGAATCGTCGGGTGGGATTGTATCACACTTTGATACGGATTCGGAGATCGTTAAGAGCCAAGGAAGCGGCTCTGTGTTAACGCCTCTGGTGCTACTTGATTACGAGAGCCTTCATATTTTCTGTAAAATTTTATTGACTATCATATGATCACGGCGCTACATAGCCACTGTACCGATATGGTAGGATTCAATAAAGTGTCCAAATGAAATTAGGTAGCAAATCGGCACCCACACTCAGGTTTTGTGGTGCCAAGATACCCCGCCGCTACCGGATTTTGTCCGGCTACCTTTGTGTACCTTTGAACCCCTACGGTACAATACCGGTCATATTGCGCGCAAAAAGCCCCCACTGGCCCTGTTAAGAGATATTCTGGGGTCTGGGAGATCAGGCCCGACACATTTTGTATAAAAAAAAAGGGAGGTATCATAGCCGAGACGCTGTCTCCGGGATCGCCATCATTTTGGATCACTCGCTTGACAATTTTGCGTTCGGGATGGTCGGATGATTTGAACAAAGAATTTAGGGGCCGGTCTGGGTTTCCAGGCTAAACCGGATTGGCAAGAGTGGAGGGCTCACTTTGAAAATTATGAAAATAGACGGTGATGGGGAAGAGGAGGAGGGTCGGAAATCGGGGGAAATACTGCGTTGCCGAGTGGAGGCTCTGTGTGGCTGTGAGATGGAGGGTTGGGCGAAGAGATGGGGGAAGAGCTTCTGACTAACACACACAACTTGAATCAGGACAAGTGTAAGGAAAGGAAGATACCGTAAATCCACACCGACCGGGTCAGGCACCGGGTCGTTTCCGACTTCTCTTTTTTTTTTGGAGCGGAAAAAGGACTCTCTCCAGGTAAAGAACATGTTGGAAGGTTCGTGGAAGCGTTAGAGGTGAAGGGTCGCCTCTGTGGAGGGCAGTCGCCGCTTCAAGTAAACGTGTCCTCAGCCCTTATTGGATGGGCCCAAGACTGGTCCGACCAAACTAAGCCTAACGGGGAAAACGCCGGGCTGCGACTTTCAAAGGTGTCCTCTTCTACAAGAACTCCAACCACTCTCCTCCGCTAACTTCTTCTTTGATTTTTTTCTTCCTCTCCCTGTTAAGTCCATCTGATCAACTCGATCCATTAATATTCTCCCCCCCTTTCTCTCTTTGTTCACTCGCTCTGATTCAGGGTTTTTGAGCAGTCTCCTTCACATTCATCCGTTAGATCTTCCTCTAACCTCTTGACGAAATGCGTTTCGATACCAGAGTTGCTTTTGGGCTTTTCTCTGTTGCTCTTGTGGGCTTCGGAAACGTCGTTCTTGCGGACGAGATTGATGACGCTCTCGGAGACGCCGCTACTCCCTCTGTGGCTTCCTCTTCCGCTACGACTGCTGCGATTGATAAGCCCACGTTTTCTGTGAGTATTTCTTTGCCCGTTGTCGTTGCGACGACGCTCGATCTGATTATGTCATTTATCGTCACAATAGCCTCTAGCTATCAACGCGCCCTTCTACGAGCAATTTACCCCTGGCTGGGATTCAAGGTGGAAAGTCAGTCACGCTAAAAAGGAGAATGACAAGACTGGCGATGAAGAGTGGACATACGTCGGCCAGTGGGCTGTCGAGGAACCTACGGTATTGAAGGGAATTGAGGGTGATGATGGACTTGGTATGCGTATTGCAACTGCTTCTCCGGGAAAGGTTTTCTAATGGTTTTCAATAGTTGTCAAGAATATTGCCGCCCATCACGCTATTTCTGCCAAGTTCGATAAGCCCATCGACAACAAGGGTAAAGCCTTGGTTGTTCAATACGAGGTTAAGCTTCAGGGTTTGTGTTTATCCAATTTTTACTCACGCTGTCGCTTTCGCTGACGTTTAGCTGTTGGACAGAGGGTTTGGAGTGTGGTGGAGCTTATCTCAAGCTTCTCAAGGAAAATGCTGACCTCCATGCGGAGGAATTTTCCAACGCCTCTCCTTATGTTATCATGTTTGGTCCCGATAAGTGTGGTGCTACCAACAAGGTTCGTCTTTCTATGAGCACGAGTAGTTGCTCTGCAGCCATTCTGATCACCGTATTAGGTTCACTTCATCTTCAAGCACAAGAACCCCAAGACTGGCGAGTACGAGGAGAAACACCTCAAGAGCCCCCCTATGGCTCGCATCTCTAAGCAATCCACTCTATACACTTTGATTGTCAACCCCGATCAAACCTATGTTATCAAGATGGACGGTAGCCAAGTCAAGGATGGTTCTCTGTTTGAGGACTTTGCACCCTCGGTCAACCCCGAAAAGGAGATTGACGACCCGGAGGACAAGAAGCCTGAGGATTGGGTCGAGAAAGCCAGGATCCCTGATCCGAAGGCCAAAAAGCCCGAGGATTGGGATGAAGATGCATCATACGAGATTGTCGATGAGGAGGCTACAAAACCTGAGGACTGGTTGGAGGATGAGCCGGAATTTGTCCCCGATCCCGAGGCTGTTAAGCCAGAGGACTGGGAGGATGAGGAAGATGGTGATTGGCTTCCCCCCACCGTCCCGAACCCCAAGTGTGAGGACGCGAGCGGATGCGGCAAATGGTCCAAGCCCATGAAGCCAAATCCCGCATACAAGGGCAAGTGGTCCGCACCGATGGTTGACAACCCGGACTACAAGGGCCCTTGGGCGCCTCGTAAGATTCCTAACCCGGATTACTTTGAAGACAAGACACCATCAAACTTTGAGCCCATGGGTGCTATCGGTTTCGAACTCTGGACCATGACCAAGGATATTCTCTTTGACAACATCTACATTGGTCACTCGATCCAGGATGCCGAGAAGCTCCAGAAGGAGACTTTTGATATCAAGAAGAAGTTTGAGCAAGAGGAGGATGCTGCATCGGCCCCCAAGATTCCCGAAGCCCCCAAGGCTCCCGGCGAGACTACCTTCAGGGAGAATCCTGTTACTTTCGTCAAGGATAACCTTCAGATCTTCTTCGCCGCGGCTCAAAAGGATCCCGTCTTTGCTGTCAAGGAGTTCCCGGTTGTTGCCGGCGGTCTCAGCCTGGTCTTGTCCATTTTCATCGCAATTTTCTTCAGTCTGATCTTCTCAGGATCATCACCGGCACCTGCTCCCAAGGCTGCTGCTGCTGCTGCTGCTGATGGGAAGGGCAAAGCGGAGGCTACTTCTGAAGGTTCCTCCACTGAGAGTGAGAAGCCCAAGGCTACCAGGCGAACGTCGAAAAAGGCGGAATAAATCCGGCCCTGTAAATTGCTCTAATTCTTTGCGTGGGGAATCGTGGGGGATTATCAGGCGGATGTATTCTTTTTATTTTTATTTTTACTTTCCCGCCCTTCTTATTTTGTCGCTACGATTTACGGGAGAGAGTGTGTGTGTGGTGGTTGCTGGGGAGGGTTTTCTTTTTTTTCTAATTCCTTGTTCTGGATCATTGAGGGTTTACAGTTATGGTTTCTTGTCTCTTCCTTGTCGATGGGATGTTTATTTTCCAATTGGCCTTGTAGCTTTAGTTTTTCCGCAAGTTCGAATCAAAAGTGATGCAATCATGTTTTCAGATATCCGGTACCGTGCTATCTTACGAGTCCACCGGTCCACCCCGTTCACCATGTTGCAGTACGATGTGGCGCTGTGTCACGGGTCAAGGTAACCGTAGTATTTATATGTTATTAAATCCTCTTCTATCTCGACCGCAGCACTGTGTATGGTGCCTGCCATCCAAAACGTGCACCAGATTTTCAAGGAGTTTCAAATTAAATAGGCTCCACAACCAGTAGCTTTACATGAGAAAAAAAACCTCAGGATTAAAGAGGAAGTGAAGGAAAATAGATGTGAGGTTTTTTTTCTCCCATAATACTACTAATTGTGAAGCCTATTTAATTTGAAAACTTCAACTTTAGGTGAGAGGAGGAGGAATGTGTTACGCCAGCCACAGCCTATAAGCTTAGTAATGGGGTATTAGTGGCTTAGCAGGTAAGGTTTATCTTATTAGGAGGAAGGGTATTATACTAAACACCATATAAAAGACTTAGAACCTACTTGTCACCTGCATAACCCCAATATTACTTATATTATCAACTGGAATTAAATATATATTTTCTGTATCATAATAGGTTCCAATAAATTATAATAAAAACTATGATAATTATAATTATATTATAATTTTAAACCCCCAACCTTAAATACCCAAACCCACAGGTCTTTATATTCCAATCAGCAGAACCACATGTAACAGAAATTTTTAGTCTGGTGTACGTTTTGGATGGCAGGCACCATACTCGGGTGCAACTTCAACCCATCCGGAAGAACTCTCGGAAAAGCCATTAGGAATCCCATCAGGAATCTGCACCCCAAATTCTCGAATTGGGGCTGATGATGCTACCAAATGGGCTCATCCCGCCGTTGGCAGAGGGGCTTGACCACAAAGATCCCAACACTCTATCAGACTGAACCTCCATTTCAATAACCTTTCCGCCCCGCTCCTCCATAAACTTGCTGCCCGAATTGCAGAAGCCGACCCCCAACGCACTACAAGTGATCAGCAACGACCCCTCAGCGATAGCACTACTCCACCATGGAGGTGATCCTGGAATCGGGGACGGGATCGGCAGGTAGCACTCCGCCGCGCTGTAGTCAGGGGTGTCCCAAAGCAGCCGATTGAGCACGATGCGGACATCAACAAAGCGACAGCCGGGGCATACCCATGGCAAAAGCGTACATGGTAGGATTACTCCTGGACAGCGGTGCGTACGTGCGCGCTGCCGGCGAAGACCACCTCGTACGGCTCGCCCCGGTGTTAGACTCCGTGCAGCGCTCCGGTGGTGAAAGCCCTCCTGGAGAACGGATGCCCAAACGCCAGCGGCTTAACCCCCCTCTATCACGCCGTCTCCGATAGTACTCAAATATCCCTAGTGTTACTGGGGATCACACCGAAGCCGATGCACGCGACCGCGATAGCCAGACCCTACTCCCCTTCGCCGCTGGTAGCTGCGGCGGAGAGCTGGCCGAGGCATCAATCAAATATAGAGCCCGCATCACCGTCGCCGTCAAGTGCAATGGTGGATGTAGCGTGGTGTATTAGGTGAGCTTTCATCGCATGAAGGATATAGTCCGTGTGCTTATCGAGAAACCGCCGCTCGTGGATGGTTTAGGCTGGATTAAGCGTGATGGGCACAGCTGCTACCTTGGGCGGGGTATTTGGGATATGTGAGTTGATGAGGCTGTTGTTGGATGATGGGACCGACGTTGATGACACGGGGACGTTGGGGTATGTTCTTGAGATTTATTGCTGCTTTTTTTCTTCCAGGGGACGTCGCGAGGCTTATGTTGTGTGGTACGGTACGTGAGGTGCGTAGATTCGCTCGAGGCGATACGGGTGCTACCGCTAATTGGTGAGGTCCCGGCGGGGGGGCATTTGTAGCGGTGGACACGAAGGATAGACTAAAAATAAGGATTTCTTTAGCTTTTATACCATTATCATAATAATTATCATACCTAATACTACTGAATTAGGAAGTCGTAGCATCAACTTACTCACGGAGGTGATCATGGCTCAGCAAGTATTTCTCCCTAGAAGTGCGAGGTATTTCCCCATAGACTACCTCTGCCTTGATTTCATTCTTCCAGTTTCCACACCCCTCCTTTATATTTGTTCGCCTTTTTGTTCCCCAAAGAACCGAAAATGACCTCCACCCTTATTTTGCTTTCTCCCCTTATTATCACATTCCACACACGTACTGTATAATAATATGTAGGCACATGTAAACAAAGTTGAGTATCAGACCGCACCACAGACCGACCGAATGCAACAACCCTCAACCCCCCCCCCCTGGCCCCCTTTCCACCATACTCGTACATGACACACGACATGACATTTAAATTTACCCGGAATATCGCCCGGTCTAGCCATCATACTTGTACTAGTACCAGCGCCCCACAATGATGTTATTACATTATAGTTGACTTTTCAATTTACCGGGACCGGAAGTAATCCGACTGCGGACTGTCAGGTAATGACGTGCGGAGAGTATGTACTGTACGAGTACTGTACTCGTGCGGCGCCGTCGGGCCATGTAAATTATGATAAATGGATACGATATAAGTTACATCACCGGTAAGACTAAAGTGCAGTTCAGTTGCTGTACTTACGGTACTCGAGGGTTATGTGGTGCGCAGGGCGGTGGTGGGTACCAGGTACTGTGCTACCGGTAATCGGTGTTCAAAGCCACTCTTAATGATAGTGAAAAATATGTCATACTTTCATCGCCTTCTCCTTTGCAGTCTCCCACGATGCAGTCCGGCGCGTTAAAGTTAGAGAACTCGGGAGTGGAGTGGAGCAGAGTAGAGTAGAGTAGAGTAGAGTACTGGCAGGCAGGCATGTAGAAGTTGTATTACCAGTTTTATTCATTCGTTTATTTATTTGTGTTTATTGACCAGACATTGAGCTGCATATCCCATACGGCTTAATACTAAGGGCTAGCCTGCCCACTACTACATATGTAATTTTCCTTATGATACGATGTCGTGTGGTGCTTGGGCTCGAAATGAATGGGTTGAACCGCGCCTCTAATTTATTACAGTACCGGTATCATACGGTACTCGTACGGGTATCACGCCGTGACATGATAGCATGTTATTTCGGTCCAATCCTGCACCATTACCGAGTGTTGTACTAGTTCGTACAGTGGACTATTGTGACAAAGGAGAATGGAGGAAAAGTGCATTGTACTGTACGGACGAACTTGCCCCCTCTGTCCATCTGTGGATCCCGTACGGCTGTGCGTATGATAGGGAGCAAGTACAGTACCGGCGAACTTAACACCACAAGTTACACTTCTCGAAAGATATCATACAACGCGCACCGGTGTATGATACCCGATCGAACAGGCAAAAATCTACCCCGATCTATCAATCGTACCGTGTGAATATTAAATTTATATATCATACTTGGCATGACATGACATGACATGACACGACACGACACGGCACGGCACGGTACGCGAGTACAATATCGAGAGCGGTCCGCGAATAGTAACTGACTTAACCTACATACCACAAATCACTGGCTACCAAACAGCTTCCTTCCTTCCTGCAGCGGACACAAACCACCTACGGTATCATACTGCAAGTTAAGTTACTGGTGAATTACCGTATCACACAAACCCTTCATCCACCCAATCCACCTTGCCACTCTCCCTCCGAGCCAAACACCACCGTACGAGTATGCACGTGATACACCGCGAAAAGAAAACCAATAATTTACTATTCCGATAGTGCAGCAATTCCAACAAGCGCGCCAATCCTTGGCGCAAAGACAAAACACGCTACGATAGAATACAGTATTATATCATGCGAGTTCTCGGCCGACCGGTAAAAATCCCAATAGTTGATGGCGGGGTAACGTATAATAAGTTATGAGACGGGTGCTGGGCTCCCCCACTGCCTGCCAATAGTAAACTACCTGTGATACGCTACGCTACCGTAGTCGAATCCCCCCCCCGCAACCTGCAACCAACGAGATAGTGCACTGACTTGAGGTGCCGCTCGAGGATCCGTCCTTGCATGCGCGTGCCCGTCTACCCCGCAAACGGTATTGGTACAAGTGCTAATTACTCGAGTACAGTACTGTGGGGACAGCAACAGCGGAAGGGGTCAAGTTACTTTTCGGGTTGGAGATCGGCGGATCGGGTCTGTTTTTTTTTGTTTTTTGTTTTTTTGTGGGGAATAGAAAAAAAAAAAAAAAAAGTTAATGGTACCTGATACGGTTAGTATAGAGTATTATGACGGCGGTCGGGCATAACGATGTGAACGTTTGAGTCGTTTATCGAGTGATGTTGTGTGATTGTGGGTGTTTACTGTCGTGGAGGTACAGTACGGTGACTACAATGTGTGTCAGACGTTGGATTCTTCTTTCTTTCTTTCTTTTTAAGTGGGGCGGGGGGGCGGGCGGATATATGTAGAGCAGAGTATTGTGTAATATGATTCGATTGTAAAGATGCGATGGTTCCCGGCGTTTGCGGGTCCGTTCGGGGGTTCGGAGTTATCCCTATCATTTTTTCTCCCTACGAATACAGCATGCCGTGATAGAGATGGCATGAAACCTATACTACGCTATGGAAACTAGAACTGATCCGACACTGAAATTGCCATCCATGAACGAATGGGTGAATGAAATAAGCTTTACGCTATTAGAGTGTATTATGATGCAATCAATAGGGTAGGTGCGATAGCTAGCGCTCCACTCCTCTCATACACCCTATCATGACTGTCTGTCCATCAATCGGGAGACTCAACATTCGATTTCACCATTTCGTTTCATAAGGGAGAAGGAGGTACTATCGTGCCGGTTAGCCCGGCCAACCTAACGTCGAGCGCCTTATCGGCCTCGGGGGAGCTGTGGCAGGAAGGCTGTCCTGGTCTCGTATCATAATTTGAAAGGTGGAAGTGACGTGGGCTAGGCAGCTGTCTATCTCGCCGTTTGTATGTGGGAAGTAGGCAAGCTGGATAGGAGCTAGATACATAGTCGTCAGGTTTCTGGGGGGTTTGATGTCTCGGTCGGATATCCAGCGATTGGGCACCCCAGCGTGGGGAAAATCCGAAGTGCTGGCTTGACAGTCCTGTGCATGTGGGTTATCTCCTATATTATTGCTGTAAGGCTCTCGCTGGATCAGGTGCTTCTCCCGTATGCGTGTAACATTGTAAAATAAGGCAGTATTTGTGATACTGCGGTACGGACAAAATCTGGAAGGCGTCCATGTTGGGTAGCACCAGAACATCCATCATCAGCTGGGTTGGAGCTTGAGGGGAGGAAGATTTAGGTTCCAGGGAGTCAATTGATGGCTGATCGCATACGTCGGGCTTAATCGTGGGCTCGCTTGTTAGGTCCCTGCGTTAGGACACCGAGTGAAGGAGCCCTGAGAAGGGCAAGCCCGAAAAAGAATGCTGTTCCATACTCGAGTAGAGGATGCGAAGGCTAGACAAACTTTGCGACGGAATCTGGAACATCCATTCCGATCTTGCATGTCTGCAATTTTCGTTCGTTGTAGGCCACATCCCGAACGAGAGGAGAGAGGGCGGGAGGTGGGGGAATGTTATCCTTCACCTCCAGTGAGGAGTTCGCATGTTGAGAAAACTGTGAGAAGGATATCCGATGGTTATTTTTGCACGATACAGATTCACCCGTAATGTACTGTAGCTATTCCGTCCTCGCCGGCTTCTCCTTTCCCTCGCGAGAATTTTCACCATCGGTGGGTGCATTTGTTGTCTGAGGCCTGTGGATGATGGGAATGAAAAGGTTGGGGGAGGTTTGACAAACTGGATATGGGTTCCCGGCAAAAAAGGGAAAAAAATGCGGAAAAGAAGCCGGCACGGGGGAGCGCGGCGTTCTCAACAGTTTCTTTCTTGCACAGGCCACCTTGATCGAAGGCTCGGGGTTTACGAACCACTACGGTACTTGTATCCAGCTGCTGACTAAGATAACAGGGGTTTCATTTTTTCCCTTTCCTCGGACGAGCAAAGGTTCGCCTCGTCATCTGCATAGCTTCTCGAGCCGTCTGGGGCTACCATCATATTCGTCGGGAAGCCAAGCCTTCGCCATCGCTGAAAAAGGTGACCACAGGCTATCAGATTCCCCTCCCCCGCCAATGGGAAAGGAGGAAAAAAGGGAAAAAGTCACCCCCCAAAAAGATCACATCTTGGCATTTCCTCTCCTTTACCGAAGCTGTGGAAGGGTAAGGAAGTTGGGGGATAAAGTGCTGGTCGACGGTCGGGGCTTAATGCGGTCCCGGTAATTCCCTATTCCCCTGCCACCCTCTCGAGTTCTGCCGCCATCTCTACACCTTAGCACTTCTCATACCCCGGCACAGCAACGATACGTACTATCGCAAATTCTTTGTGTGAATAAATCCACCCTTCTTCCCCTCCCTCCATCCCTTCCCCCCAACACCATTCCTTCCCTCTGCCCGCTTGTCGCCACATTGAAATCTCGCCATCGTCCCTTCACTTGGAATAAGCGGCCATCAATCAATCGATCATTTTTCTGTGCCTTCCTATATTTCGCATCGTTCCATCCCGCCTTTCGATAGCGAATCGGTGACCTTGCCAACTCAGTCTGTGACAAAAACTTCCTTCGCCCCCCTGCTAGATCTTGTTATAGACGTATACGTCGGACATGAATACCAGTACTAGAAATCTCGCAAAACTCAAGAAGGCCGCCAGAATTATTCTTGTTGGCCCCCCGGGATGCGGGAAGGGTACACAGTCCGGGAGGTTACTGGATCATTTCAGACTGACTCCCATATCCTCGGGTGATTTGTTGAGGGAGAATGTGGGTCCGAGTTCTTTTTGGGCCACCATTTTGTGGGGCCAATGACATGTGCTCGTGAACGGTTGTGCTGACCCGTGATTTCCCACACTTTCTACAGGTTCGCAACCGGACGCCGCTGGGTATCCAACTACCATTTTCGATTCCTTTTTAGCAACTAGTATTCTGGATATTGAGCATGATGACTGAGATTTCTTTCTTTTGTTTCTTGCAGGAATCCAGGCCGAGACGGTAATGCGTTCCGGTGGACTTGTCCAGGACTCCTTGATGGTCAAACTTATCGTCGGAGAACTCTCCAAACGCGGATGGGTTGAAACCCGTGGTAATTTGACTTCTGGAATTTGTCTTACGGGACCGTTATCAGTTATCGGGGGCCCAATAACGCCAAGAGCATCAGATTCTCCGACAGCTAGTTTCCTTCTCGACGGCTTCCCCAGGACAAAGAACCAGGCCCAATCTTTGGATTCTGAGGTCGCCATGAATTTGGTTTGTTCACCCTTCCCGACGGCAAGGTTGGCCGTGTTTGCTGATATGTTGTACTCATTTTAGGTTGTTAACCTCGATGTCCCTCGTGACGTTATCTTGGATCGTATTGCCAACAGGCTTGTGGTGAGTTCGCCTTTTCTCCCCGGACATACAGATTCTGATACATTCGAGTAGCATGAGCCCTCTGGCCGCATCTATAATATGACCTGGAACAAACCCAAGAATCCCGGTGTCGACGATGTTACTGGGGAGCCTTTGACTCGCCGTCCAGATGATTCTCCGGTAGGCATTAATATGCAATAAGCAATGCATGATTTTTTACTGATCCTGGATTAGGAGACCTTCTCTAAGCGTTTGAAATCTTATGCTGAGGTTACCGAGCCGCTTCTTGAACATTACGACAAAGCGGGTGTTCTCTGGACCGTATCTGGCTCTACTAGTGACGAGATCACTCCTCAGCTTGATGCTGAGATCCTCAAGAGGTTCGGCTAGATGCGTCCCTGGGCTCACCCATTCTGCCAGCAGAGTGGAAACGCCTGAACCTTTTCTTTAAATATATATTTCATGTTACACACTTTCTGACTCTTCTTTTTCCTGTTGCTCTTGCACCGACTGGAACCTTCCTTATAATGAACATTCATGGCTAATGGCGTTTCCTATTTTTACTCTATTTTGCCGCTGGAGCCGTACTCTTATGTGTTTTTATTACGACTTCATTCTTTTCTTTTCTTTTCATTCATTCATTCATTTTTTTTTCGAGCGTGATGGGGGTTAGTGGTGTTTGGTTTTACTAGGGCACATTGTGGGACACAATGGATTTTCTGTTTTTCTTTTTATGGACGTGGACTATGTACAAATTACCAGAGGGTTCGCGAAAATGGAAAAATAGGGCTGACAAGACTTTGGCTGATCTTTGGCTTTTGGATCAAATCACAATTATTTTTGCATTTCCTCTTGTATGCAGTGGTAATGCGTGGGGATTGTGGGCCCGAGCAAATGGTGCTTTGCGGGCGTATGAGGGTTCACGATAGACTAGAATACCGTAATAGACTGGAGGCTGTTGGGATCCAGTGGAAATGGGTTTTAGAGTTGGGTTTGTCATCTAAATTAGGTTACCACAATAGCCTCATTCCGCTACCGAAAGTCGGAGAGTGACTTTGGAGACGCATGCTCGTGACAAATCAAATGTGCATTGCCGCTCTACGAGCACGAGTATGATACTCGTACTGATTTGGGGCTCACATGAAAAGTCTTGGCGCGGTCGAGCTTCTGCCAACAAGCTTCCGTTTCGAGCCGAGCTTCTTCGCCGGAGAATTCCAGGGGGTTGGAGCTTGATCGATCTGAGCTTGTGTAAACAAACACCCAAACAACAACAAGAGTATCGACCTCGGCAAGCATGAAATGGCCACCACCGTCTTCCGATGACAATTCCGGTCGAATACGCCGATTCACTGAGTGTGTGCGATCTGGGGAACTGTTCACAGCGGAGGTGCTTCTCTCCCCGGAGGTGCTCTTCCCCACGGTAGTGCTCACTTCGGGAACCCTGGCAGCGATATACTTCTACAGTCACTATGTCCGCCGGATACCCATGACTTCGGAAATCTATCCCTCGTTCTTCCGGCGGAGGTCGTTGTTTGGGACTGTCACGAGCGTTGGGGACGGGGACAATTTCCGGCTTTTTCACACGCCTGGTGGGAGGTTGATGGGATGGGGGTGGATGCCGGGTCGGAAGGTCCCAACGGTTAAGAAGGGCCTCAGGGATGTCACTGTGATCCACCCGCTTCGGTAGATCTGGAAAGCCAGAGGGGCTAATCGGTGTTTTACAGCTCCACGTCCGCCTAGCGGGCATTGATGCCCCCGAATGCGCACATTTTGGAAAAACCGCCCAACCGGGATCCTCTGAAGCCCTGGCATGGCTGCGAAACTACATACTGAGCCATAGGGTACGAGCATACATATACCGACGGGACCAGTACGAGCGGGTGGTCGCTTCTGTCAAGGTGCGCAAGGGACTGTTCCGGAGGGATGTCGGGCTGGAGATGTTGAAAGCGGGCATGGCGACGGTTTACGAATCTAAGATGGGTGCGGAGTTTGGGAGTCTCGAGAAGAGGTATAGGGAGGCGGAAGCGGTGGCCAGGAGACAGAGGATTGGGATTTGGGCGCTTAGCAAGAAGCAGTTCATTAGTCCTGGGGCTTACAAGAAGGGACTGAGGGAGAGGGGGTTGTGAGATTCTAGGTGTCTTGTTGGTGGGGTGTCTGACGGATGGTGATGGGTCATGTTGATTGATATTAGTAACTTAGGATTTGATGGATAATTTTAAACCTAATGCCAAGTACAAAGTGGGAATTAGTTTAATCCAAGTCTATACGATCTAGTCAGGTTTTCCTGATCTTCCAGCAGGCCCGTCAAACCTGTGTTACTCGCGGTTGGCGCGAAGATCCTCTGCGCCCTGTACACACATTGGCTTGCATCGTGGGCGGAAGATACACGGGGAGCTATGAACCAGTATCCCCCCACTGGGAGGTACCCCCGGTACGGGGCACGGATTTCTGCGGAAGCCTAGTGCACAATGTGTGGTATGTGCCCTTGCCATAGTATCATATGTACCCGGGAAAAGCACTGCACTTTGAGCCTGGTCTTTGATTTAGCCCCAATCCCCTCGACGCCCCCACATCGCGCGCACTATGATACTGCGCTTCACTCTCCTCTACCTTAAAATGAGCAAGAAATGGTGATGCTGCGCCCCCAGAACCTACAGTACAACGATCATCACGAGACCCATAACGGGGAATCCCCACCATCACATTAAACCCCTACCGGTATGGGAAAGTACGGCACACCATACTGTGCGCAAAACATCCCTCACATCGTATACCGTAATACAAGTGCAGGGCCCCCGCAGTTCACCAGCACACACCGCATCATGTCTGCCCACTTACCAGACATATCATACCGCCACCCCCGCCCTAAATACAAGCATTTCCCACTTTTTTTATTTTTATTTACCAGTATAGTATCATACCAGCACAGCTGTATTATAGCCCCTAGCACAAGTTCACCCCGCAACAGCCCACCGAGCAAACAACCTAACGCATCTGCACAAACACACACACCATCATCAGGACTCCAAAATGTCATGCCGGAACGTGATAACTTGCGCCGCTTCCCGCACCTAATTATACCACCGGTGGTCCGAAAAAAAAAACACACCGGCATTTTCTTGTTAGTGGGTTCTGCGTGTTCCCGAGTGGTAAAGATGCATGTGAAAATGGAATCATGCGTGCTCACTCGAGCCCGTTGCCTGCGGGTGATCCGCCATAATGCTGAGCTCCGCACTCTGCATGGCGCTTACGGTGGTGGTGGTGGTGGTGGGGTGTTCTTGTACGGTTCCGCTGCTTGCGCGCCCATGGTTGGGTGGTGCGTTGGGTGTTTGTTGCGCTCGGCTGTGCTTGGTATTTGTGGGGAGGTGGGAGGGGGAAGACCGTCTTGGTCAGAGTTTGCTATGTGTTTGTGTGCTGTTTGTTGTGCTGTGCTATCATGGTATGGGCTGCGCTTCTTTGAGGGGGTTGGTGTGGTTAAGGTTGTGGGACTACCGTAGGAGTTTTATCGTATGTAGAAGGCGCCCGTCTGCCCATTCTGATTAGAGGAGGGGGCAGTAGAGGACCATTGCTGGAGAGTACAGTACAGTACTTGTAATATAAATGGATATGTTTGCGAGATAATGTATTCTGAACAGTTCAGGTGTTTTGCAGTATGCGTATTTTCCCTACTACTAGGTTCTTATTTCCTCCCGCTGCTTTTCCTTTTTGGTTGGAATGGGTGGATGGCTTTCTGATATCGGATGTAGCTATGATGATTGCCGGACCTTTGTTTTGGAGTTGACCTGTTTTACACTGTTGTACATCTTTACTGGGACATGCCGGACAGGGCCTTGTTTATTTATTTGCTTTTTGTTTGTAGGGGGTTGTGTAAAGGGGAGGGGGGAGCGAGGGGGGGGGGGGGGTATGATAAATACAGTAGTGTAAACCTGGAGGCTTTTTTTTGTTCTTCAGGAATGTGGTGCGATGTGATGTGATGTACTTTTCTAGTGGTGACGGGGTCACTATAGTATCTCTATTGGTATTGTCATCACACTTTGCCAGCAGGTGGCTCTATGCAGAACTTGAGGGGGGGTAGTCATTGTCCTCGGTGGGGAATGGAGGTCATGGAATGTCACTCGTGGGTAGAAATGATCCACGATTCCTACTGTGACGGCTCATCGTAGAACGTATCAACCTCACTTACCATCCTGAATGGTGAGCTGGTTGTGAGTACCGTAGCCATGGGGAGCCCTTCCCTGAGTAACTCATCTTCTATCACTTCCCCCCGACACCTCCGTTTTTCAACGGGACATACGGGCATGCAATTGGCCGGAATAGAAAAGAGTAATCCTTCATTCGTGATTCTTCTTTCTTCGCTTTCACGCGCGGGAGGTGGGAGGTAGACTGCTGGGTCATCTTAAAACAAATTCATTGTATATAGTTGTTTTCTGGAGGTCTCTGGTTGGTTTCCGTGAACCCTTACGTCGTGCCTCCGCTATTGTTTCCACTCATATCCTTCGCTGGGTTCATATCGGGACGGGGCGTGCTGTCTTTCTTTTTTTTCTTTTCCTTTTTTTTGGATGCCCTCTGTCACTGCTATCGCTGGGAGCTTTTCTACAGCCTCCTCCCCTACGCTCTGCGCCGAGACCCCATCTCAGTGGTGGGGGGGGGAGGATTTTTTCCATCTGCCCCGGCTAGTGCCCGGTTGGTGCACTGTTTACCTATACACCTTCTACCCCGTGGGTGCTTTCTTGGTGCTGACACCTCTCTGTACGAGCGTCTCTAGTTCCCCACATTCGGTGTTCTGGGGGCATGTCTTTGGGGGTGTAATATTAGGTGTATGCTGTCGGGCACTTACCTGTTGGACACTTATATTTTCTTTTTTTCTTTTCTCTTTAGTGCTGCCTGTGCGCGGGATTAACTAGGGTGGGTTTACTCATGGTACTGGCTTTTGCATAACAGTTATCAGGATGGAGGCTATGGATAACACCCAGACGCACCCTTAACTTATTATATTTTTATTTTTAGTGGGTAACTATATCATTTGAAGCTCCCAGCCGCCTATTAAAGGAAAATGCCAAACCAAGGGAATGGAGTGAATAAGAATTGTTGTTCCACTTGTCATCTGACTGAGGAACTGCTGTGCTGTACAGTTTGGAACAAAAATAACCATCTCCGGTGAAGAACGGTTGGGCTTGGAATTTGGGGTAATATCCGACCCTTAAGGCATCTTGGAGGTCATAGAAATCAGTACTTAGAAGGTTAAAATCACTAAATATGGAGTGCCATGGGGCTTTATAAACTGGGGGAGCGACTTCCGCTAATTGTAACCACCGATGCCACCTCCTTATCGAGATGGAGAGCCACGCTGGCCTGGATTGTTTAGAGTTCCTGGCTTCGTTCATGGGCGGTGCACTTGCCTGGGTCGAAATGTAAGTAACGGCGTCCATGAACGGGGAAAGGTGCTCAGCGTGCTTCACGATTACATCAGGCAGCGGATGGAACTATTGTCCAACTCCTTTCTCCATAGATATAGCCGGTACACTCTGCAACCATTTGGTGGCCTCGGACTTAGCGCCCCTCCCAGGAATTTCTTTTTCTGATGTATTATGCACGATGCTATATCCTCGATGACCACATCGAAATTCTTCAACTCGGTACTAATGCCATGAATGTCAACGAATTCACCACGATTTTGAGATTCTCACTGACGCTTGAAGATAGAACGGGCTACTGTATCGACATCCAAAGAGTAGCGCCAAGTGATAGGATCGTAAGTTGGAGGCCCGGAATATGGGGGTTGCCATGTATGGATTTTAGGAGCGGTCCTGAGGGAGGGAGGGATGGAAATGTCGGGGGACAGCCGCTGTGAAGTTGGCGAGCGAGGGGTCTGAGTACAATGCACGATTTACTTATCTGCATGATCAGGTGGCCGAGGCGATTCGTACTGGCTCGTGGTGTTGCTGTTAACCGATGGTCTGCCGCGGATTTTATAGTGGGCACGTGAAATTGCATCTTTGTCAGTTCTTACAGTTGATTTATGATGAGTGGGATTGACTACCGTACTCGAGTACAGATTGGAGGGACCCCCACTTGAGTTTACGTGCAAAGTGCCTAAGTCTAGCCCACCACGACGAAGGTAATTTACAATAAACGACAAAATTGTTCCTCGAATGTTAATCAGCAAAGGGGATGGTAGGGGATTTATCATATAAAAGTGCTAATTTTTTGTTTCTTCTATTTGCGGAAAACTGAGGGTCTGATATGTGAATGAGGTCATCCAGAGCGGTTCCTACGTGGGAATCCCATGCGGAAATTACGTGTCTTAACGGGTTTTTGGGCCCTTCCTCTGGAACTTTGGGGCTCAAAAGTTTTTGCGCATCTTTTCTGTGACCTATCCTTCATACTAAATTGTGCGATCTGGGAAATCACTGGATTTGCCTGGGGTTGTGGTAGCGGACAGCTACTGGGAATGTGCATTTTGTGTAGAAAACGGTTTCTTTTGCGGCCAAAGTCGTACCTTTGTGATTCTCTGTCTGTCTTGGACACTGACTGGGGCGGCGAAGGATTTCCGCCGTCTCCGGGGTTTAGGGGGTATTTAGTGGCGGAACTATTTCTAGAGTGCCCTAGCATTAGATGGTGGGCCATTTGGTGTGCTTGCAGCCTCTGGAGGAAGATGTTACAGTATTTGCTCAAAGTTGGTCGAATAAGAAGAAAGAAGGGCCAAAAAAGGCCGAGAAGTGGCATTCAAAGTACAAGTACATGTTTTCTACCCCCCATCGTGGGATGTCACTCGGTATTCCGTAATGGTTTGTGGTTTGGTCTTTTATGACTGACTCAGCACTTTTCTCTTCCCTGTGCCCCTTCCTTCCACACACCGTATACATTTTTTTCATGTGATACCCGATAATATCGGGTATCGTTATCATATTTGTGGCGGACTGGTGCGGTATAAAGGGGGCACTAGCGGATGGAGCGGTGGGGGCGCAATCATAATAGGCTAAACGCAGCGGGGGCTGGAGGGATGGAACTGGCGACCGATGGGGGGTGCTATCTGGGAATAAGCTAGGAGATATATATCTCCATAGCTAACAACTATGGAAACCAAATTATGCGCGGAGAAACTCTAAGGGTCCGTCTGGTTGCC